GGAAAGGGACCGCACCGCCGACCCCCGCCCCGAGCAGCCCCTCCGAAATAACCTCCGAGAGAGCGGTTTTATTGAACAGTTTATTCTGGTTTAAAATAAAAAAAAAAAAAAGAGAGAAACCCTCACTTCCGCGGAGCACGGTACAGCGACGGCACGCCGCCCCGCCTGCCCCCCCGGCCCCCGGGGCGAGGACCGCGGCTCACCCCCCGGCAGCGCCCGTCCCGGGTATTTACAATTCATCGCGTTTAAATAAGCCTGGGACACCTCGTGGAGCATACGTCGTTATTGCAACAGGACAGCACTTGCCTCTGTGGCCAAAAACCGCAGCGGGTGGGCGTTCAGAACCATGATTTGTGGATCCCGAAAGGCATTGTTGTTAACATGCAAAAAACATTACTAAACAATATTATCTAACTTCTACGGTTGCCAAATACTTGACCTTAATAAGGAAACCAATTACAAAATACTTCCTTGTAGTGCTATACAAAAGTTATAAAATTAAGATTCTATCAACCACTTTTAAATATTCCAATTTTCCAACAGTGCAGTTTTCCACATCTTTATCACCACTGAACATTTTGAAGATAAAGTAAAAAAAAAATCAGCAAATTAGATCAACATGTTTTAATCTTTGGATCCCTTTTTTCCTGTGGCCTTCATATACATATCCAGACACAAATGACCAGGTTCCTATTTCAGCATATCAAAAAGTTGTAACTAGTCATTCAGAATTGGCAAAAAAAGTCCATACTATGTCATTTGTGACTTCGCGGTCTTAGAACCAGAGCCTTAATGTCTCCAAGCTATGGTCTATCAAAATGCAAACAACTTCAAACACTAAGAATTCTTTAAATTGCTTATGTCTACAGGTATTACAACAAAGTTAACATTTCAAGAATTGACAAATGGAGACGTAATTTTGTCCCAGGCATTCCAGGAGAATCACAAAACTCATGTGCCTGGTCCATTATTAAAAAAAGTTAATATTTATCACTAAGTAAAATTAATTGCAAATTTTGACATATGAAAATTTCTTTTCTCCTTATTTGAAAATACCTCCTTAATTTGGTCAAATCCTGTGATATGCCAGAAACTACAAAATCAAATTCCTGCAGGAGAAGTGAAGAGTGTATCCAGTTCCATGTAATGGAAGAATGTTTTCAAATCTTCATTATAGTCCAAATATAAAAATCAAACGTGTAAGCCTGAAAAGCTGCTAAAGAAAAAAAACCCAACTAATTCAGTGTTCTTCAGCATATCAACTTTTGCAATAACACAGTATGTTTGCCGACTTAAAAATGTTTATTCTTTAAAAAATTAGTTGCTTTTTATACAGCTATACAAAGTTCGTAATGTTTCTTTGGCAATGGGATATAATGGAATTTTACAACTATATAAAAAGTTTCCTTTGCCTAAGAAACAGTATTTACTGTGTGTACATATTTGACTGACAAAGCAAGTTTCCTACTGTCCAGCACCCTAGTTGATAAAAGTACAACTATCTCAAAAGGGATATTACAGGATTTCCAAAAAACAACCTTCAGTGGATCAAAACACTCACAGTATCGACGGCCTTCTGCATACAATTGTCCTTACAACTTGAAGCAATTATCAAATACAGTCTAGTAATAAGAAAAATCCTTTCAGTGATGAAAAAATACTTAAACTCCATCGAAGTACTGCTTTATAATTAACTATACATAAGAAATTACTTATCCTTCTGTCTCAAATATATTTAATGCTCACTGTTTTCAAAGATGGCCATTTTTCAAAAGTAACTGCATTACACCCCTTTGAAATTAAATAGTTAAATCCCAGTGCTGGTGACAAGTATACAGCAAATTAACTTCATTCTTTGCAGAGATTGAAACTAATTCTCTGGATCAAGAAGATCTAGACGTTCACCCGGTTTCAGCTTTCTTGTAGACTATGCAGCAACTTTGTTGTCTTTCTAGAGGGAACAACAGTAGAACGTTAAAATTGATTTTGCAAAACAGAAATCACAAATTAATCTGGGCAACAGCACTGGGAGAAGATGCGCTGTGATAGCTACTTCCCATCTTCTGCAATCAGAAATGAGACCTCCCTGTGTCATCAGGTTACAGCATCTGGTCAAAACACCCTCGGTCTGGCACAAGCTGAGGCAGCTCGTCATTTTGACTAGATGCGTGGCACAAATCTTCCGTCTTTACACCACCTCCTACTTATCTAGAAGACTGTGAAATTCTTTCATTCAGAAATTCACATCTTTGACCTTCAATCCCTCATTTCAATTCATGCTCAGCTACCAAAAATGTCTTTAAATCACAGGACTAAGTCTTGCAAACTAATGAAGGAATAACTGAGGGACAGTCAGAAGTCTTCTGTGATGAGAAAAGGGTACCCCCCTCCTGTTTTTTAATTTAAAAATATTTAAATCTTCAAACAGATAATGAAGATTTTGTGTTGAAAAACTCTAACTGCTCATGCAGTAAACTACCAAAAAAAGTTCTTCTGTCCCAGTCAGAATTGTAAAAGCCTGTATTTACTTGCCCCAATCTGGTTAATTATATTTGTTACTGATTCTAAACAGTACGCCAGTATTATTCCTGCTCCTTAACAAGCTAACGTTCGTGTTGAATATACTTAATGCCAAGAAAAATGGCTTGCACTGAAATTATTAAAAGATTTTGGTTTGCAAGCAACTGAGCTCTGAGCTCTGCACCTAAGATACCACTAGCACAGAATACATCACTTTAACAGCTGGGGCTGACAACTTTGTCCTTCCTCTGAATGGCTGGTAGGAAGAAGGGTTAAGATCTTCAACAGGAAACAGAGAAATGGATGTCTTCATAGTGTTGCAAAAGCAACAAATTGCATAACTATACCATAAAGGAAGATTCTGCTTTTTAGCCATCATAGGTCTTGCGGGACACATTACTATTTCTATGCTTGCGTGATTATGAAAGCATGACTGTACATCAGGTTACTTCAGTTAGCAGACTTACATGGTGGCTTGTGCATAATGCTTAAAGGAACTTTAAACTTCATTCACATTTAACTAAAGTAGCAGTACTTATTTTAATCTTTTAAAAACACTTCCTCTATGGGAAGGACAAGGGTGTTTTCTTTTGACATTTTCATGCCCTATCTCCCACAGTTCCTTTTTACTGAATGACTTGCTGAAAAAAGCCAATCCTGCCTTAGCTTTCCCAACAGCTATTGGATATAATTATGTCAAGTTATAACTAAAAAGAGAGAAAAAAAGAAAAAAAAAAAAAAGGTTTGTAACAGGACCTTACAAAACTCAAATATTTTTAAATCTTTCTTTTTGCAAAGGGTCATCACTATGCTTCAGTAACTTCAATTACTTTATTTTAGGGGTTATATAGGATCTTAGAAGTCTATAGGCTTTGTGCCAACTCATTCACAAAGAATTCAAAAAAGTTTGTTGCACAGTAGAAGGAAGTTAAATTACTCGCTCTCAATCTTTAAATTTTAAAATATTGCTTAGAAAAATGCTTTTACTTCTCCCCTCCCCCCCCGCCATTCCAGCTACAGAACAAATATTTAGGGCATGTGAAGAAAGATAGCTTTTAGTTTTGGTTGCTGTCAATAGTCAAATGATGCTATAGCTAAAATTTCAGCATTAATGGACTTTCAATTAAGTAGCTCAGAGTACCTGCAAAATACTATTCAAGAAATTCTAGTTCAACATCAAATCTAAAAGCTGGGAGTTTTTTACCACTAGTTTCCAAGAACAGTGGATCAGGTCATAGTAACATTAAATGTATTTTACCCTATATTCAAAGTCAGCAAACTCCCTGCCTCCACGACCTCCTCTGAATCCACCACGAAATCCTCGGGGGGCAGTGAAGCCACCTCTTCCACCTCCTCTTCCTCTTCCACCTCGGAAGCCAATCCCCCCTCTGCCTCTGTACCCTCCACGGCCACGATTGGGACGCAGTGGTATTCCAAAGGTCTCTGCATTTAATCTTCTTTCCTCAGCCCAAGTGGGTCGCCGTTCTCTGCCACACAAAAGGAACAAGACTTGTTTTAAAACACACCTCAGAAGGAAGACTGCCTGGCTTAGAATAGCAAGAAAGCCCATGAAATGAAAAATGATACATTAATCACATTGTAAATCTCCACATTATCCTTTTCTGCAAGAATCTAGGTGTCTGCCACAATTCATTTAACTCAACAAAAAGGGATGTGTTACAGTATCATTAATTATATATTAACAATGCCGTAACTTTCCCATGCAGAAAGAAGTACACAGTCTGTATCCTCTGCGCACCATCATATAATAAAATAAATAAACACTGCCTGCAACTTAAAACAAGAAACAGAAAGTAAGAGTTTGCAGTTACAGATGTTATTTTATCTAGCTGTCGGTACAACAAAACAATCCCCCCACTGTAATTCAAAATAGGTCAGCAATCCACACCATCTCGTCTTATAAAAAGGCAACAGCAAAAGATAAGCTTTAATTTTCCTGACATGCTATCTTCCCATTCAAACAACACTACTGTTACATAATCTGCTTAGAAACCATTACCAAAGCACAGTCATAATTGATTTAACTAAAGTGGTAATTAAGTAGCAAAACAAAACAAAAAAACCCCACTTCAGTAAATCTGGAAAGGGGGTTCTAGAGTACGTACACGAAGTTCTAGAAGCATGGCTCTAAAACAACATTTTAAAATGTCTTCCTATTAATGTACTGCCCTTGCCCACAAAGAAATTTTGTGCTTCACATTCCTGTTTTATTTTTGCCCACTGCATGTGGAAGTAAGCTTTACTCACTTTTGATTCAGAGTTGACTGTAATGAGTAATGCTGACACTACTTTATGACATAAACATGCATTAAGTAGGCTAACAAGCTTCCCCTTGCAGGCCATACCGATTGTCATCGCAGGAGATGTTATCAAAGAAGGATTTGGTTTTGTCATAGTAGCAGTTGGGGCCAAGTGGATCTTCCTCATCTGCATTCCCTTCGCTATTTTGGGTATCAACACCTGAGTCACCTTTGTCTTCTCCATTTACAGGCTTCTCTGGTTTCTCAAGTTTATCTTCTGGAAAATAAAAGTAAACAGAAGCCTTTCAGACCATCATACTAAACAAAACCATCACTGTTAACTTATTCCCAGACATACAGACGCAAACTACACTGAATGCTCAAAAAATACAAAAACTGCTCCAAAATTTAGCGTGGAAGTCAAATAATTTGACACATAAATTAGGATGTTTTGCTGGTGCTGTCTGGAGGTTTGATATCCTCTATATTCCCTGTGGGTTTAATTAAGAAAAAAACCCTGTGGTAGAACGAATTTGATAGCCATCTATTTTCTAACCTCCTACCTACCTCTTTTCCAGACTTAAAAACTTCAGTCATTCCTCATAAAAGCCATTCCATGTTTTTGCTCATCCCTGTTGCCCTTCTCCTTTGTCTTTTGGCTTTGCTGTTATCTCCTTTGAGACAGAAGGCCAGCATTCAAGATATTATGCCATGAACTGACTTTATGATATACCTCTTTCCTAATAATGCCTGAAGTTGAAATTACTGTTTTGACTGCTACTGAAAAAGCAGCTGATGGTTCAACAGAACTAGCTATTACAGTCTTAAAGTCTCATTCCTAAATGCTTACAGCTTAAATCTCATGATGCTGTGCATAAACTTCAGGTAACCAGCTCAACCTTTCCACAACATACACACACACACACAAAAATTACCACTGTCTCATAAAATATTTCTATAGCTCCTTATGGTTAGCTTTCCCTTTCCTCTTTACTATTCTGAAAAAAAATCAGTATCAACAGCAAACTGTCAACTCATTTCAAAATGATACAGAAAAAGAGGCAAGCACCAAAGAACAAATCTATGGGACTCGACTGGTGGTTTTTCTCTACACTGAAATCTGACCATTTATTCCTACCTTTTGTTTCCCAGCTTTTAGCCAATCATTTACTGAAACAGGGAACTCCCTATTTTAACCTGTAACAATTTTGTCCAAAAACAGTAGCAGCAGTGTAACGAACAGGTGGCTGGTCACAAGAGAATGAGGTAATTAAAACAGAAGCCTGCTAGAAAACAAAAGTGAAGTGCTGGCAGTATGGATTTGAACTACTCCTGTGTTCCTTTGGAAAAGGGCAAAAGCAAAGAAATGCTAGAAACTTTCCTAAATTGAAACTCTTGTGCATCCTCCAGCAAAGTTCTGATCCCAAACTCATGTTTTTGTGATTGCTTTTGGTCTATTAATAATTGAAAACATAAAATAAGGGTTTTCTTTTATTGCATCTTTTAAAAGTAAACTCACACTACTGGGACCTCCACTCAAGTAATCTGCATTTTTAAACCAACAGACTTGTTAGAACATGACATACTATATTTGCTAGTTAAAATTCCTTCAAAACTCAAATATTGACCCAGATATTTAACTAAATAGATGATCCCAGTTTACTACTTCATTGATTTTTTTAGTTTTTCCTTTTAAATGACTGCAAACAAGACTTAGTAGGATACACTTTTTAAAAGTTGTTCTCCAAGGTAAAACTAAAACAGCAAGACACATTTTTTCCATGCTCAAATCTAGAGCAAAAATGGTTTACCTTTTAGTTTAAGTTTATTATGAAATTCTCTATCAATTTCCTCCTTGTTGAATTGTGCATTTGCACTTTCAAAGTCAAAGTCCTTCTCAAACTTCATTGGACCATCCCTCCTAATACCAAATCTTCCTCGGCCCCCTCTGTGACCTCCACGGCCTCTCCGTGCTGACGGTCCACCTGGAACTGAAAAGAGGGAAATTCTGTTCCATTTTGTTTTGTGGATTGGTTTTTCTTTGAGGGTGGTGGTTGTTGGTTTTTTGGGTGATTTTTTTTGCTTTGTTTTGTTTTTTAGTTCCTGGGATAACAGTTTGGGATTTCATGCATCCTCTTCCTGCATTTCTGTTGTTAAAAGTCCTATTAGGGCAGCTTGTAATTTGTAAATTCACTTACAATAATTACAACAGTGACACAGAAAGCATAATAGCACTAAACTTGTGTACTAAAAGATTTTCTAGAAGTCATTAAAAGTTTTTGGAAGAAGAGTTATAATGTTAGTAGTTTTTCAGTGAAGTATTTTCATAGAAAGGTAACAGGTTTTATTTCATGCTATTGTGTTTATAAATCTATGAGTACTGCCTGGTTTTGCATTTTTATTCAAATTGCTTAAAATAGAGCAACCAGAAAAGACTTTTCTCTTTAATGTTGACTTTCTGTCCTTGTATTATTCTGGCCCAATACAAAGTTACTGTTACCCACTAGAAACAATTATGTGAAAGCATTCTAAACACATAAAGTCTTTATTACTGTAATCTGAACTGCAAGATTTCTGGATGTTCCAAACAAAGTCCTAGCACTTTGCAAACTATACACAATGCTGTATTTTAGCAGACTTTTAAAAAACTTAATGAAGTCTGAAAACAATGATAACTATTTCTCAAAACAAGATTTACCAATTTGTCGTTTGTTTTCATTTCTGAGTTCATTTTCTGATCTTGAAACCTTGTGTGCTTCAGCTAAAGTTGGAAATAAAAAAATTATTTGTTTATCCAATTAGGTATTTTTGATCATACTTTTGTATATAGTTATATAGTTCCAATTTCAAAAAAATCCAAACCTATAAAAGTAAACCACAAGTTTAACTCAAAAGAAAAATTCAGAATATATGCTTGAGTTTAAAAAGAAGTATATGTATTCCAGGTCTCTGCTGGCCAGTCTATCAGTAGTGGACAGCAGGAAAATTCCTACACATTACCCTTAAAAAGAGCATTTCATATGTGTATGGAAGAAAATAAGCTGTATGACAATTATCCAAAGCTACCTCGTCTGTGCTCTTGATTCTCTAACGATTTTTGGCTAGCAGACACCAAAGGTCTGGCTGGTACAGGACTCCTCCTCCCAACTGGTGCTGGAGTAGCCAAGTGGGCTGAAGCTGTTTGTACTGCTTGTTCCATGGTGGGGCTCCTTCTCAAATGATCTATCTGAGGGCTTGAACGACCTGGGAAAAAGACAAAACAAAACCGAAACCCAAAGAGTTATTTCTCACCTACAACTTTGAGTTACTCGTCTGAACCAATCTAGACTGACAGGTTTATCTGCCTTACCAGTCAAGACAGCTGTGTCCAAAGAGGAAATAAATATTTCTGCACCCTCAGATCCACTAATCCAGAATGAAGGATATTTAGCAATTCCCCTTCCCCTAGTCTAAAAGAAAAAAATGGGTAGGACAATTAATCCCTACCAACACATCTGTGATGTGCATTTAGCTGTGGAATGAAATTTTTTGATTGACTGGAGGTGGAAATACTCTTTCTGCCTCCCTGGAAAGCCAAGTGGAAAGTGACTGCTCCCAAAGGCAGAGATACAGTTACGGTACTGAAATTTCATTTCATCTAGTGCACTCTGCTGTATGATCACCACAAAATAAATGAACAGTGATGGCTAGTGCCAGGCATAATGCAGATGGAGCAATGAAAGCTTCCCCACAAAGTGCTGTTCATACATTTCAATTTGCAGCATGAGTGACTGGAGCCAGACGCGTGTTTAGAACAGAGACATTTGATCTGGCCAGACAAGTTTATGACACCATATAGGTAAATCTACTAAGAAATTAGAGTAAGACTCAAGTCCCAGTAAGTAAAATAAAAGAATAATGTCGTATTCCATAAAAAAAGCTAACCAAAAGGAAAAAAAAAAAAAAAAAAGAAAAAAGAAAGAAAACAAACACCACAAAAAAAACCCCAAACCCAACCATACCACACTTAAAAACTACAAAGATGACAAATATTTTTAAAAGCAAACACACACACAGCAAAAGCTTGTTGGTGCCCCACAGGAAATTTTGTGGCAGAATATATGTTCATCTAGATAGTATGTCATAAATTAACCCAAGAATCATACAGGTTTTAATTTCACCTACAGAAAACCAAGCTACTCTTTCAATAGAGAAACAGTAAATGCTCAGAATACTTTTTCCCCTTCAATTAATGCAACAAAGTAGAAGCTATATTTGGTAATCCACTCAACTAAACCTAGACAGAAGTCCTAACTGGTATACAAATCTCAACTAGATTTTAGAAAAAAACCCTGTTTGCTGTAATTGTTTTGCCTTTTAACACAACTGCATAACCTTAAAAATAGCATTAGGAATATATCCTAGCACACACTTTTACTTGCAGCAGCGAAGAGTGGAAGAGCAGGAGATAACTTCTTTTGGATTTTTAAGAGCAATCTTAACACATTTGCATGAAAAGTGAGGGTGAAGGTGCTCAACATTTAGTTTCTTTTTTCTTTGCCACTGAAAAAGCATCAAGAATTTCCTTTTTGCTTCTACTTTCTTTTTCCAGTATTATACAAACTACCCATACAGTTTCTATTACTATTAAGCTGACTTAACTGTCCTGTCACTATCTCTACAGGCAATCAGGTCTGCTGTTAGTATTTTTTTGTGTAAATATGCATAAACAAAAAAATACCATTAGGAATAAAGATTTAAAATTGTAGGCTGAAGGACTTCACAATTCAAATCAGCATGAAGTATCTTGAGTTTTGTCATGCTATCAATAAAACTAGATAGTGAATTTCCATATACATCTATTTGCTAACTTTATTAAACTGAAATAAGTCCTACTCCTCAATATAGATGCTTTAAGGGTAACAGCAAATGTGTTGCTAACAGTTACCTATGCAGCATGCCAAGATGTAAGAAAACACATTTAAAGAGCAAGTACAAAGACTCTCAGTGCTTTCTGGTTTTAATACCAAGTGTTTTCATGACAGAATTTAGCTGTTCGGTTAGCATTTCTGGCAACCATCTAAGTCACACAGGCACGATTGGTCAAAAAAGATCAAAGAAGATTTACCTTGAGACATCTGTGGTTTTAGTGATCTTGCATCTGTTGTAAATGCAGAACCAACTGCAGTGCTTTGGGACATGCTAGTACTGGCTGAAGAGTCTGTTCCAAAAGATGTTAAAGAACCTCCTGCTTTGAAAGAAATAATATAGTTGTAAAACCTGGTTTAGACTTTTTTCTGTATTTTTTTTTTTAAATAGCACTAAATGATTAGTGAAGCCATATTAACCAGTTATTCTACGATACACATGAGTTTGACCTTCCCATGCACTTCAAGTTTAATGTAACGTATGTATTTGTAGTCAGTTTGTAAGACAGTAATATCTTGATGCTTTTTATCAAAAAAAAAAAAAAAAAAAAAAAAAGAGCACTGCTAACTTTAGCATCACAAGTATTAACATAACATAGTCATGACAGCATCTCACCGAGTAATAAACAAATGTTATTGGTATGTACTTCCACTTAACACCTTTTAAACAAAAATATGACTGTCACATCTTATTAACTGATATCAAGTTATGGTCAATTCTACAGCCCTCCTTTCACATGGCTAAAATTTTTAGTACCAGTTGCCATAACAGTTACAAGAATGTAAGCTCCTATGTGAAAAACCAAAAGGCGAAATAAAAAACTTTAAAGGAGAAATGAAAGTTGGTTGGTGAGTCTCAGAGAGCACCTGCAGTATAAAGGAGCAACTAACCCATGCAGCTCACAAATACTTAAAGCATGTACTTTGTGCCATGCTAACACCTCATGAATAGCTAGAGGACTGCGCTGGCACACAGATTGCTGAATGATCCAAACCCTTGGGTTAAGGCACACACCACTTGGTCAACCTGGGATACCAGATGTCGACAGCACAGCTATGGGGCTTTTGTGGAGGAGCTGCCTCTACCACTTGTGAAATATAATGAATATATGATGAATATAATGATTATATACGAAATAGAATGAATTAACGAATACAGGAACCTTCCCCCCCTTGTCCCTCCGAGGGTGTTTAGTTCTCAATCACAATTGCTTTGATTTGAGCTGCAAAGACTATGGAAAACTCTACTTTCAAGCTAAACTGTGGAACTGATACAGACTGAATACTCTAGATCTGCCCTTAGGATAAGATGTTGATGGAATATAAGCATCGATTACTGCCTATGCACACACATGCAACGTCACTTATGGGAAAACAGCAAATAATAAAAATGAACATACCAACTCCAACAGCGCCGAACTGCTGCCCCACCAGCGGGCTTGGACTAAACTGACTGTATGCAGGCATTCTGCCAAAAGGACCATAGGACCCCACAGATTGGAATGAAGATGTAGTCGAAGATCCTAGTGAAGACTAAAGACAAAACACACTTGCAGAAATTAATGTTTACACAAAAAGTAGGAAATAGTTCTGCAAGGCAAGAAATGCAGAAATTCTAAAACTATTTGTTAAATTTACCCTAACACCACCACCGTGGCTAATATGTATGCAAGACCTTAACATTCAGAAAGTTGCTTCTTTCAGTATCAAGAATTTAGCAGCTTTAACACAGAAGCAAAGACAGCACAAAACCAATGAATTACACACATGACTCTGCATGAAAACTCAAATCAGTTAGCAGAAAATATTTTTACAGGTACGTGTACAGTTTAGAAAGCACTTTTACCCTTCCGATATCACAAACTTGTGACAACAGTACCATAAAATTTTACAATCTTTTCCCTAAACCTCACATACCAGATTCTTTTGTCAAACACATGTATAAGCTTTTGTTAGCAAACTTGGAAAATTTATCTTTTTCCTTGAAAATTCAAAAAACGCATGAACAATGAAAGACCCAAACATAACAGAGGAGAGCGGGGTTATTACTGTTATTGGGGTTAGCAATAATGCAATTTCACAGCTCTCAACTACCACTGACTGAAGGAGTTGCACCAAATTTAGCAAAAGACCCTAGAAGATTGCCAGGGTACTTTATAAGGAAGTATCAAGAATTTTATCTTACGGAATACTTAAACATCAGAAACTTAAACACTTCCATGGAATTATCAAATTCCATTTGAATCTAGAACTTCCATCTTGCTCTCAGGGATGATTTTAAGACACCCCACAAGCACAAATCAACAAGCCAACAAATTTCAGAGACCAAAAATAACTAGCACTGTCAGCCCATTTACTACAAAATAACAGGTTAATTAACCCTGAAGGCTTCAAGCTGTAATTTGCTTTCCCTTCAGCAACCAAGTATTCCCATTTCAAATAACTGCCCTTTAGTATGAAGCCTTTTTAAAAACACATAGCTAGATGAAACACTTTTAAAGTCATAGTCAGCCAAAAAAAAGTTGAACATTAAAATCCAAAAGAAAACAAAAACAAACAAATGAAAAAAAATCATTAATTATTTGGAGAGGTTTCAGCATCTACTCTATTTGACTTATAGCAAGTCTGCTCTCTCCAAGTAGTCTTCCATACATGTCCTCCTAAGCCAAATACCTTTCAAACAAGGCAGCAAGGTCTACCAAAAGTCATTAGTTGTTTTTGAAAAACTGGCAGCTTTGGCATTCAGTGTATTGTGCTAGAGTCAGATTTCAGTCTTGATTTTCACAGTTAAAGACACAATTCAAAAGAGGAAAATCTTTCCAGAGTTCTTTACATTGGGTTGTGAACTTTACAGCAACAAACATTTTAGTTTTTAAACACTCAGCTAGAGAGCACTTAAAGCTACCAGGTTATCTCTTCAGCAACAAACATCTAAAAATATGTTTTGACTTACCTGAACAATAGCAGGATCCTGTGGCAAAGAACACTGAGGCTTTGGTGGCTCACAGACAGTTAGGTCTTTAATGTCACTGCCACGGAATATAATATACTCAAAGACTTCATCACGAGGTGGTATAGGTCTATCAGTTGGTCTATCTTCTGTACCGAAGGAGCGAACTGCAAAATTGGGAAGGAAGAGAAAAAATAAACACATCCCACATTCAACAAAAAGGTTTCAAATATACTGCAGAGACCAGCAGCTTTAAATAAAAAGAATAAAATTTTGTTGAGCAAAAAAACTTATTAGATAGGCAGCATATTCTTTGCCATTATCAACTACTCAGACATAAACAAGTAATTTGATCTTACAAATTTCCGTTAAAAAAATCAAGTAGAAAGACACCTCTTCTGTTCCTTACTGAGACATCACTTACGCCATCACTCACATGTTGAATATTTTGACTGTTTTGTGAGGATAAGGGGAAGCAGCAAAGCAGTTTTTTGCTGAGTTAACACTTTTAGGACATTATAGCAAGAGGAACACCAACAAAAGCCGGTCAGTCAGTCCTGTGAATCAAGGACTACATGAGTTTACATACTTCATATTCCGCACATGCAAATCAGGCAAAAGAAAAAGCTAACACTACTAGAAACTAGAATATTAAAAATTACTGAAAACAAAGTATTTCTCAATAGATTCAAGGTCTGAGTCAAGATTTAAATAAAAATTAGGAATTCCGTGGTATGTATATACAATTTTCACTAAGCAAAATGCATTCTTCTTGCTGGCGTAAGGTTCATATGATCTCTGTCAAATTAAGTAAACTCACTGGGGCATAACTATCTTCCTAAGTAGGCCTGCATAGTGTGCAGCATACCAAGACATTAAATTTATTTGTATGTACTTAGCTGAATTCCAACAGTTTTCAGATTGCATAGTGATGAAGCTCATCATGCTTTTCCCTTTGCACTACGTATCAGTACCACTGGACAGCATCACTTTACTTTCACTACCCTCTCAAAGACTTTTCCTCACCTTAAAGACTGCCAACCCTATATGAATATAAAGTGAAACAAACAAACAAAACCTGAAGAGAGGTCTCCACAAGCTAGAGTTTTGTAAGCAAAAACTAAACAACAAATTGAAACCAGAGAAGAAAAAAAAACAAACCCAAAACCCATGACAATCACATTCTACTGAACATCAACTTGCAGCAGCTTTAACAATCCGCCACGACTGTCTCTGCTCTAGCCTTTTAAGAGGTTTTTGTTTGCTTTGTAAGGTACTACAGGTTATGCTGAGAAAACATCCATATTTTGCTTTAATTTACCAGAATTAGTTTTCTCTCCATTTTTAGATGCATCAACAATTTGGAGACATCATTAGGCACTTATTTGCACCCATAAAACCATTAGTCAAGAAAATCACTTTCCTGTAGAGCTGTATAAGGTGATATTGAGTCATTTCTCATGCTGCACCAACCATCTTCCATCACTGTTGCTTCTCCTAGTATCGCATAAACAGAGCTTAAGAGTCAAGTATTACAAATCTTTTTGAGAAGCGTAACTCGGGAGTAAAGAGATCAACTCCACACTACAATGAAAAATAACATTAAGTAGCTACAATTATTTTCTTCATTCTTATATCATCTACTGAACTGAATTTAATCAACTCTTCTATTTCTGTGCATCTGAAAGTCTGCTCTGAATGGTACTATAAAATGTAAGCGTTGTAAAAAGGCACGTACTGTTAAGTATCTTTGTTATAAGATAAATCTGTCTTTTCTTCTTCCACTACTATCTGAAGCTGAAGAATTTGCAGAAATTACAGTAATATGCAATAGCTTAACAATGTTATCAACTGATCATGTGCATTACTGTAGCTCACTCTGTTGCTTTTTATTCATCAGGTTTTTCTACTTCCCTGTCTTGACTGAGGATCCACCTTCACTTTCTGGCCATCTTACATTCTATTTATTACATAACTAATAAATTAACTTGGCCCTTCATTCCATCATTTGACCTGCTGTCTTGGTAAGTAAAACCAACGTTGATTTTGTATTGGTTCTCTCTATCCCACACTGAAATAGTTGCTCTAGTAGCTGCTTTGTCTACAAAGGTGCACAAAAATGGCCAGTGTGACAAGTTACTGAAGTATTTTACTTTCTAGCTAAAGTGAAGGAACTAAGCAGTAGCAACACCATAAAAAAGGGTAGTAAACTGAGGATCACATCTCACCTTTACATAGAAATAAAAATCTGATGAACTACGGAAGAAATCTGCTTTGAAAGTACTAAAGTAAGAGCTATGCTGCGTGGATAAGTATTTTACTATTAACACCAACATCACATGGCACATATAGGAACAGCTTTAACACTTGACAATTACCTTTCTCCATCCTAAACCAAACAAACAACAAAAAAGTGAACCACCTAACTTCCACCTAATGACACCTCAAAAGAGGTAAAAGGATTTTACTGTACATCAAGAAGAATTTGTCTTTCTATCACAAAATTCCAAAAACATCAAAAAGAAGTATTTTCAATACCAAAAATTAGAATTCATCTTTAAGAGATTCAGCTGTCTATGCAACACATCAAGACACTGATAAGGTTGTCAATGGTTTTGCAATAAAACACATCAAGAGTTGCTACTAAGAGTTTGGGTTTTTTCTCTACCTCTAGGCTGCTCCAAAGCAAACTGGTTTTAGTACAACTTTCTGCAAAATACAAAGACAATTCCATCCAATGAAGACAGCTCTGCTGGAGAGGAGTAAGCAAACTCCTCTGATTTGGGGTTCAACCTTCCCCTCTAACCCCAAAGCAACACGAAAAACCATCCCCAAGTCTAATTTCCTTCTAAAGCAAGGAACCAGAACTGCATGTGCGGTGATCTAAGAAAGCAGTTTAGGGTAAGGGCTGCTTAATGTTTTTGCAGTGTCTATCCCAACTACGTCCTTCAGACAGTGGTATAACATAAAGAGTTTAATGTTACTTTCAGTATTTTGCAAAGGGATAGCTATCTTTACAGTTTCTTCTTTCCTAGCTTGGATTAGGATTTAAAATAATCTGAGCTCATTAAAGGAAAAAGTCTAGTATTAAAGGTGGCCAGTACAATAGGATTTTAGAAAGAAATAGCTGTTACCATAGTGTTGCGTAATCACAAATACTAAGTTGCCAGAGTATCAAAACCACAAGGTATTGGAGCAGCAGCAGTCTTACAGCTCTATCCAGCTGTCTCTCATGGTATTTCCTCAGACTATACAGCCTTCCTCCAGAACAGGGTGCAGTGGTTCATAGATAGCAAAATACTGAAGAGTGAGAGCAAATGAAAATAAGCATGTGAAAGAGAACGTAATCTTACCAGGACTACAGAATGTAATCTTATAACACTAAACCAGGACTACAGTAAATCCATTTTATCTTACCTTGTCAATTTAAGTGTGTTTTTTTGTTTTGTTTCATTTTTTTTTTTCTTTAATAAGTTAAACTGGCCTAGGGACTTGCAAACAAAAAGGCAACCATCACATGTCAAAAACAAACTTATTTTTTGTCAGTGTCAATACACACAATTAAGTAGAAAGAAACTAACACTGTTGAGCCTAACAGGATTCATGTATGTGACTTTATGCCCAAGTAGCTTCACCAATTTCATATATTGTCCTGCATCTGTGTACAGATTTTGACTACTTCAATGTTACTACTACATTATATTTTAATGCATATTACTATATTATGCTACTATAGCATCCAAGGAAAAAATTGCAACTTTCCCTAACAATTAACAGAAATGATTACCTGTTGATTAACACAGAAAAATACTGTGTTAATCAGAACCCAAGCTGTATCTTCTACTAGCAAAAGAGGACTCTGTTCCCATATAATGCGAGTTATTGCAAATAGGTAGTTCAGTCATTGTACACAGTACTGATACAATCTTATCAGCCTTACTTCATATGTAACATACATACACATAACCAGTCTTTCCCCACTCTTAAGGCACCCATGAGAAGCATGACGACTAAAAAATGAGACCACCGCTACAAGAACAAGTCATTTCAATTGCCATCTCTCTGCAAAACATCACAACCCTTTCTCTCTAAACATGCTTAAGATACCTGCACACCACATTACAGGAAAAGTATTAATGTCAAGGAGCCAGCTTGTGGCAGGCTCTTATCTTCAGAACAATTAATTCAGTCTGCATTCCCTTACTCATAGGGATGGCGAGTTCACAGGGAGATAGATATGAGGAAAGTAGCTAGGAGTGGGCTTTGACAAGAATTTTTCTGCTGCGACATGCTATGTACAGGGTTGGTTTGGCACACATGCCCTAAACCTCAAGACACAAAGGGAGCATGTCACTTAACCGACTAAAAAATAACATCACAAAAACTTGATAAAAATTTAACCCTTCCCTTTCCTGCTCCCACCCCTGAACTGTAAGAAATGCTCAAGTTTTTACAAGAATTTAACTTTCTTCTGTCTACGTTTGAGTCTTTCCCCAATTAATACTGTTTAAAAGTCTAAAAGAAAGGGAAGTTTTCTTTCATGTCATTTCCCTTCATAGTCATTAGACTATGGCAAACACTATCACAGATAGTTGAAAATGCCAGAAATGCTGGACGTTTAACTACTTCTTAAATTACTGAAAGTTATTTCATTAATATCTATTAATTATAATGATTCCAAATGCAACTCTCAATGGTGCAGCTGTTAAGTGAGAACTGGTGCATTATACCAGAGAGACAGTATACAATTTTCTGTTTCTTATACTTGCATGCCTAAGGATTCCCTACTATTGGCAGGGAACAAAGCCTTTTCTGACCCAACATGGTTGTTCTTACACAGCTTACCTACATTAAAAATCTATCTCTCTAAATCGGTGCCTTGAAATAGAAAGACATTATGTATTACTAGCATGAAAGACCACATCTAGTTTTTAATGCCACAACATGTAAGATTAAGCACAATCCATCGTGATTATTCTGTAACTGCTCCAGGTAGGGCAGCAAGCACTTTACAGCAAGAATATTTTACTCCTAATTGTGGCTTGCAAACACTCTATTCTTAAATTGGTTGGACTTAATGATGTTTAAAAAATTAAGTATGAAATAGAAGTATGAACAAGAAGGACATTCCAAGTTAGCAATCCAAAAATCTTATTTCTGTCTAAAACCCCAGAAGATTTAAGATAAATGAAGGCATTCCACATGTACAACTTAATGAGATTAATCTCAGACTTCGGTTTAGCCCACAGAAGTCCCACTGCTCGGCAAATCTGTAGTTATTCAAGAACAGATTCCACCTCTACTTCTGCACTTTATGTCACAAACAATTTCAGTGATTTCAGTTGGGAAGTGAATAACGATAAGCCACCCTGCACTCAACCCAGGTAACAGTGACATGAAACCAGCTACATAGCAGAGCAACTGAAGGCATCCAGTCATCTTTTGGGGCTTCTTTTGTCTCTTTCTGACAGAGAACGTGACATTTGTGGTAGAGATCCACAGTAAACAGTTCTGGTTTGAAGTCTGGACTCACCACAGGAAGAAGAGCTAACTACTGGCTGATCAACATATTTACAGCTATAGAGAGTTCAGAAGGAAGATCTGCTTCTTTCACATACAGACCTGGCCATAATTAACCACACGTGTCACCTTACATATATGCTATCATACCACATTCACATGACCTAAGCCATCATTTATTCAGAAACTTGAATACTCCAGAGTTGAGCATTTTGTTCATAAGCACAGTGAACTGTTTTACAGTCTAATACAGTTGTTATCAACTTCCAGATTAATCTCAAGATTTTTGGTTGCAGGTGGCCTAGAAATACTGGTTTATTCTCTTCTGAATCATGACACTATATTACAAAACACACACTCTTCAGCTAACTCAGCCAAGTTTTATTAAAGCAAATTTAATGGTTTAGATTTACATTTCTGATGAGAGCTATGAGAAGAGAGTAGATTAGATTTGGAACTGTAGTTTGATCTATCTTAAATATATACACTTTGGCAGATATCCCATACCATGACTTAACCACTCTTGAGAAGTCATGCAAAATTGGCTTGGTCAGCACTAAATCTGTCTAATTTAGGGCAAGACTATCACAAGCTCCTCAAGGATGGGATTCTTGTAAGTGCTTTTGTACAAACCTTAACAATCACAGCATGCAACTGGAATTTCTCAACATGTATTTTTAATCACTGTGCTCATCTTTTTCTCATATAAACAAATACTAGCTGTCCCTTTTAAAGAGATAATGCAATTCCAGCAAGGTAGTTTAACCTAAAGGCAACTTTAGAAACAAGTAAAAAAAAAAAAAAAAAAAAAAAATCACATCATGAAAGCTAAAAGCCCCATAAATGAACTATGCAAGCCTGGGACCAAACCTACTGTAAGGTGTTTCAAAGCATATATACAAGAATTTACAAAACAAAGTGATCTATTTCTTAAATAGTAATTGTCGGGGGCGGGGAAGGGGAGAAGATGAGGACCTTAAAGTGACAAGACACACAAACAAGAATTACCACAAAGGCCAATGCAAGATGAAAGCAAACAAACTGCTGCACGGTATCAACTCCACAGACCGACTATTATACACATCAACTCTGTAAAATGTAACAGACTGTCATTATACTAGAATGCTATACCTATCGTATCAAACAGGAACTGAGGTTCGGAATACTCTCAGTCCCAAATACTTAATTTACACAAGGGGCAATTTTTCCCTTTACCTAATGGTGGGATAAATTCTCTCCTTTTACATATGCATTTAGATTATTTAGCAAGACTTCACAGAGGCAAGAAGTGTAAAGTAAAATACCACTGAGTTTTGCAGAACCTATTATAAAGAAGTTATTAAAAATTCTGACTTAACTTTTTACCTGAATATTATACATTCACTGCCATGGCTAATACACTTGTGTTGAGAGTACATTATCATGCGCAAGAAACAGCAAAGACCTTCGGATGCCCAGTTTCAAAGACCCTCTTTTTTACTCGCCAGTTTCTCTTCTCAGTAACACACCTTCCTAACTTTCTTATACATACACACCACACATTTTCCTCTGCTCAATACATTCTCACTCCAGTGCCTGTACCCAATTTTGATTTACACAGTGCCATACAGCCACCTCCGAACTGAAGAGCTCACGATCAGCTGCCTCTCTGATAACACAGCACTCACAGAACCCCCTTTAGACCCGAGCTGTCTCCTACCCCAGGATGCAGAAGAGTTCAGTCGTCTGCGGCCCTGTACCCTGTAGGTCTGGAATTCTTACGATGCAAAGAAATCCTCCTTCCAGCCTCCCCCTCCAACTCCCTTTCACGCACTAACTCCGGACCGCTTCCACCGCTAAGGGCTTCGTACTTTTACTCTATTCAGGACCCCTCTGAGCAGCCCCTGGCTAGGTAACTAACGCTCCTAGCTCCTTTTGGCGACGGCCCCTCCGCCGCCGCTCCGAGCTTTCCATACCCCCGCCCGGAGCCGGGCGAGCAGCCCGCGCGGCGGGAGCAGGGGCCTCCGCAGCGCCGTCGCTCTCCCAACCCCTTCCTCACTTCCACCTCTGCCGTGAAGCGTCGCGGCTCGCCACAGCCCCGCCGCAGACGCTCCCGCCGGGGAGGATGGCGGGAGGACGCGCCTCCGGCCGAAACTGCGCGGGCTCTTCCCAAAGCTCCGCCGAGCCCCCTCGCAGCTGCTGCTGGGCCCTCGCAGGCTGTAGGCCTCCCCCTCGCACCCCGGGCCTCCTCTTCGTCACAACGCCAGGGACGACTCTGCCGCGGTTTCAGGTTCTTGCTCGATCCCCGACGGTCCCCAGGCCGCCGCACGCACCGCGGTCCCGCTCCCCTCCCGCTCCCTCCCCGAGGCGTTGCTGGGTCGCCAGGGCCCAGCCCTCTGCTCCGCCAGGTCCTTACCCTTGGCCAGCGCCACAGTGGAGTTTTCGGTGTCGATGGTGTACAGGATCCCTTCATAGCGGATCTCGGCCTTGGAGATAAGGCTGATCTTGCTCCCGATGTAGGGCGTCCCCCCGCTCATGGTGCTGGCTCCTCGGTCAGGGACACCCCCCCCTCCTCCCCTGCCGAGCGCTCCTGAAGCCGGGCACGAGCAACTAAGCGAGCCCGGCTCACAGTCGTAGTAGGCGCTCTACTCCTCCCGCTTCGAGCCCGACCTTGCGCCGATCCCCCAGCGACGGCTTTCCCTGCGCAGACTCCCTCAGCACACCCCGCACCAAAAGCACCCTGAAGCTCCCAACATGGCCGCTGCCTTCATCTTCCCTCAGAGCCGCCCCCCTTCGCTCCAGCCGCGAAATGGATGCCGGGAGTGGGAGTGATCTCGCGAGAACGGGCGGCCGGGGGCGGGCCGGGGGCCGCTGACGGGAGGGGGCGGCCATTTGGGCCGCCCGGGAAATTAATTAACTTCGCGCTCTAGCGCGTTCCCGCCTGGCGTGTGGAGCGCGGCTTCCCCGGCGGTGGTGCGGCTCGCACGGCGGGTTGGGCTCGGCTGTGCCTCGTCGCGCTTTCCCTGCCTGGCCTAAGGGTGCTGTGCGGGGCTGGATCGGGGCTCCCCGGGGCCTGCGGCTCCCCCTCCTCGGGCTCCCGCCCAGCGCGCCGGGAGTTTGAGCTCGCAGCTTGGAAACCCCACCCCTGCCGTAGCCTGTGAACACCGGGGGATGTGAAAGTAGGTTTGGTGATGTGGGGTTTTTGGGTTTTTTTGAGAGAGGTCCAAGCTGCCTATCACTGAATGCTAAATTCTTGTGATCCGGTCACGCGGAGAGCTGCAAAAGTCTAGATGATAACTAACTAGCTCATATTTCAAGGGGGATTCCGTTTTACTCAGTTGGCAGAGCGCTGAGGTAGCCGGATCTTGCCAAGCAACACTAAGCAACACAACTGTTGATGAAATACTGACTAAAGTGTGGAATTAATGCTGAAAAAATACCCTTTTAGTACAAGTAAGGACAAAACAAAAATCGTGATTTTGAGATTGCACCTAACTTGCACACCTTATGTAAAAATCATAAATGAGGCTTCCTGTTGGAGGCTTTCCCTGTTAAAACATGATCCTGCCTCGGGCCCCTCTTTTTCTATTTGCAGCCTAGAAAATTACATGCAACAAAAACTAACTTCTGGAAAGGGTACTTAATAGCTTTTGTTGCTGCAACTGGACACTACTATGTTGCAAAGATTCAGCAAGTATTTTGTTCAGAATAGGGCTTTGAAACACAATAGCAAGCCAGATTTTTCTGCAAGGGCCTGCATGTTTCTAAATGGGAGCCATACTAGACTTCTGGAAACTTTATGCCCAAGTTCAACTGACTGTAAAGTCATGGAGGACTTCAGTGCCCAGGGAGTTTTACTGCGATGTGCAGGTCCTGGACTACCTGAAAGATTTGGAACAAAGTTCTTTGGTTAATGAATGGACACACGTGACCATATGAAGTCCTTGGGAGACCACTGTTAAAAATCAGCATTTGGTTAAAAAGCTTTGGAGGAGGCTGCAGGGAAGATCAGGAACCTGGCTGATGAAGAGAAAGGACACCATGAGGGGAAGGAGGAAAGGGGAGGCCTGGGATACTGACATAAGAGGACAGAGAAGGGGAAGAGGAATACCTTGAAGTACAACCACTTGCCCAGAAGACCCATGTGGTTTTGCTTTTGGCCAACTTCTAAGTTTTCCCTCATCTGCCTCTCTCAGAATTGTAGTTGAAGACTCCCATTTATAGAATTAGGGTTTCAAGGTTGTGTGGTGGAATGTGAAATAGAAGTGGACATTTTTTTGAGCTTGGGACAAAGTAGATGAGCACTTCAGGAGACAATTCAAGCAAAAAACTGCCAGAGTTTGCTTTTAGGTGTTAACACTTGCAAAGTTTCTGAACGAGAGATGTTGGCCAGAATGAATAAATGGAAAAAGCTAGGAATAGAAAAGTATCCCCTTGAAAAACTTTTTACGGGTTAAATTGGAACCTTCTTGATGTCAAATTTTCCCAAGCCTCTCCATCAAGTCCTGTCTAGGTGAGCACAGACAAGTATTTACAATTACAATTAACTTCAAAACAAAAGCACCTAAATTTCTGTAAGCCATATATAAAAAAAATAATCCCATTGCAACTGAAATACACAAAACTAAATTTAGACATATTTCTAGAACAGCTGTTGGCTAGTCTAGCCGTCTTTGTGCTCTCCAATTTGTGGAATTTATAATTTCTAATTCAGACTTAAAATCAGCAGTTGAAAGAATATTTTTATAGTGTAAAGTGAATTTCAATTATATATGTAAAGAGTTCTGTAAATTAATTTTAAGAAGTTATCTGAAAATCTTATCTAAACCTGGTGGGTACCATTTTAATGTTAATTTTAAACTTAGGATAGTTAAATTGTGTATTTGAATGCACTGAAAATGCGTATTTGAAAGAAACCCACATCACGTACTAGAAAAATAGTGCTCCTTTCTAAGTGCTTTCACTTCTCTAGATGACAAAAAGATAGTTGTCTATGTCAACTGTTATTACTCCCTGCAGCTTAACGTGGCAGTGGTACTTCTATTATGTAGTGAGTTATTAATGAAAAACTTTGTCTGGAAACAGGGCACAGGGTTTAACAGTGTCGATAAGTGAACAGCAGCTTAACAAATTTGTGGTGGATTTTCTTTCACAGGCAATTTTAAAACCATGTTTGGAAGTTAACTTTCCTAATAGACGTTCTCTATTTCAAACAAAATATAATCCAGGAAAGATTGCATTTTAAGAGATCAGATGAGATGATCACAGTGGTCTCTTCGATTTTTTTTTTTTTTTTCCCTTCTATACATATTTAAGTCCTAAAAATGAAAGAGCAACAAGCATGTTCAGAAATATGTTTTTTATGATGAAAAGCATGTAAATATTTGAAAAAGATTTTTGTAATAAAAGAATGAATACAAAAGTTCACAGAGATTCTGTACTTTACTAAAAGTCTCATTCCCTACGTAAAAGCGCAAGCCCAAAGCCAGTTTCATCAACAAGTTTGTATACATTCTTACGTATGTCATCACTTCTTGACTTGAAAGAAGTCCAATGTGAATCAGTATACATCATGTTTTATTAAATAAAATATTCTATTATACTTCCTTATTCTGTATGTTTATATATATAAAATGGCTCAATTAAGAAGAGGTGAGTGGGAAGAAATATGAATTCATGTTTTACAGATTACTCACCCACAAATGTACTTTAAAACTGTAATTAAAAGTAGGTAATTTTTAAAGTTTTGAAACCTGTCTTATAAATCATGACTTGCCATTTTTTCCTTCTGCTGGGAAGATTACTTTTTATCTTCTAAAGTTACAAAGCAATAAAGTTTTCCTCCCGGGTGGCTTTGATGGAGACACACAGTTTAATGGCATAGTGTTAGAAAAATGTATACTAAAACTTTTTTCATAGTCAGGACTAGTTGAAGAATCATATGTCTAACTTTCTGTTCTCTTATAAAAACTGTGGAGATAGTGGTACGCAAATGAAGTCCACGATCAGGGCAAATAAGTGAAGGAAGCATGGAATCTTCTCTAATAAAATTAATAAAATGTACTCTTAACAAAGTAATATCGGATACATTCTGATATTTGTCCAACCCAAATGAATATTCTTTATCTTTGTGCAATAGCAAGTTGAGTAATAGGCAACTATGTTTTAATTAAATTTCCAGGTAGAAACATTTGCTAAAAGTTCAAATTTAATTCAGCTGTAGCATTCCATAAAAGCAATAGTCGATTTGCTAAGCAAATTTTTGATGTATAGATCTCCTGCTTACACTTAATACTGTTTTTCATAAGCACTGCTGTGCTTTCACGTTCACTTACTGCACAGTCTTCCATTTACGCATCCTGACCACGCCTTCGGGCCTTTGGTACTTCTATGGGCCACTTTATTTTAAGAAATACGCACTGGTTTAATTTCAGGAGACATTTAAACTTCTCCTAATTAAACTGGTGCAACCTATTTTTAATGCATTTTAAAAGTGGTTTATTTTGATTCATCATAAACCTACTCCTGAAGGTATAAACAGACAATCAGGAAAAACTACCCTAAATAAAAATGTAACCTACATTGAGAGGAAATGGATGGTAACAAACCAGTTATTAGCAGTTTAGTCTTGTGACTCAAGCAAGTCGTATAATGTATCACTTAACAGATTGAGTCTGGGACTGGAGAAGGGTTGTGTGCATGTGCGCACTGTGAGCCCTTCACTCGTTTCCATCAGTGCATCATGCAGCTGAAGGTGGCTTATTCACTGATGCACCTTTTTCAGTTTTATGGAAAATCCTGAAAAAGCACAAAATGAAGAATGAGTCACCATTTCAGGCCACAGAGCAGGAGCTTAAATACATCCAAGTTTGCAGGCGTCCATGCTATTGCAGGCCAGGAGAGACAGATAACGGAAGCCAAGCTGCTTTCCTCTGGCAGTGTCACAAATCCACGGTGGTTAGCACTTGTGTGCAAGAACAGATGCAGTGAACTGTGGGCAACGGTTATTCGTAAGGGGAAAATTACTTATTTTGAAGGTCCCATCAAAGAAACTGCCCTGTCATTAGTCAAAGAAATGATAATTTAGGGCCACTGTCTTTAAGTGGTATTTCTGAACGCGTGAGGCATGCACGGATGGGAAAAGGGCGTACAGGAACGCAACGGCAGAAGCGTTAGTAACCACCTCAAATTTCCTGCGCGGATGCTGAGAGAGCACGGTACATCAGAGCAGCTGCTGTGATGATGCCAAGAATCTTATTTTTGGTTTGTTAACAGTGTCCACGTTAGGAAATTGTATTCCTGCCTAGGTAAAGCAGTAACTTTGGACACAAACGTCTAAAACTCTGAAGCAAACAGAGCAGTGCCCTGCTGAGTGCAGGTACTCTGCGTGCACCTTGGGATGCCAGACAGCTTCAACAGCGCTTGAAGTTCCCTCCTTTGAAGGACTCGGCGTGTAAGGCAGCTGAGCCGCTACAGCCGACTGCACGCTCGCTTTCGGTTCTCCCTGAGCGCCGCGAACGCTGCGCCGGCTGGCGGCACCTCCCCTCGCGGGGTGCTGCCAAGGGGAGGCCAAGAGCGCGGCCGCGGCGGCTTCGCCACCGAAAGGTAACGCGATTGTAGGACGCTTCAGTTCCCGACCTGCAAGCTCACAACCCTCCGCAGCACGGCTGCAGGCCTTCCGCACGCCTCGAACCTCCCTGCCAGAAGTCCCTACAGACACGATTAATGGCAGGCTCCTGCCCGGACCCGCTGTCGCCCCTCGGCTTCCCGAGGCGGCCGGCGAGCAGCCCACCGCCCTCTCCCTCACCGATGGCCGGGGTCCGCTCCCGGACCCTGCCGGCCCGCCTCCGCAGCAGCAGCGCTTGCGGACCTCACCGGTCGGCGGCGCGGACGGGCCCAGCCCCGGGGCGAGCGAGGACGCGGCGGCACTCGCCGGCGGCGCGCTCTGCCCCCGCCCCCGCGGCGGGGGAGGAGGAAGCCGGCCCCTCCCAGAATGCCTCGCGCGCGGCAGAGGCCGGCGCGCTTGCGCGCTGCGCGGCCGGCTCCCAGCTCAGCGCAAGATGGCGGCGGGCGCCTCGGACCCCCTGGAAGAGATGCTGCTCTTCTCCGAGGAGGTGGACGAGAAGGCGGTCAGCGACCTGGTGGGCTCCTTGGAATCGCAGCTGGCCGGCGGCCGGGGCTCCGCCGAGGCGCCCCAGCCCAGGACCTCCGCCCCGTCCCAGCAGCAGCAGCAGCAGCCGCAGCAGCAGC